TTGGTAGAATTTTAATTAACGTCATATTTTTTCTCAAAATGTCAATAATAAAAAAGTTTTTCCTCTTGTAAAAGCAATCCGGGGACACTGTATATACTAAGTATAGGGAGGCGAAAAAAGCCCCACATCAAGTTTTCTATTTGAAATTTTCAATTTTTTTGTAAAATATATGAATTAGTACTGTTAAATTTCAAGAAATTTTTATAGTTCTGTCAATAACAGTATTTATTACTTTATTACAACAATGTCGTTAAAAAATATGTTTGAAACTAATTCAGAATTTAAGATACCAAGTAATCCTCTCTCAATCAAAAATCTATTTTTTAAGGAATTTATCTCTTTCAGTACATCTTCTATACTCTAAACAATAGAAACATGCATTATGTAATGTACTTTTTCGCGAAATCATAGCATAAACGAATTAATGCAGAAAAAAGGATGCACACCGCATCTGAAAGAAAAATGCGCGACCTTCGCGCCGCGTTGCTTTACTAAAAAAACTGGAATTTCTAGGTAAAATGCTAGATCTACAAGCGCAGATATATTTTGCGCAATAATCTCTTATAATTACAGCTTAAATTCCTTAAGTTAATCTCTCATAACGTAATACACACAAGCTATATTTTACATAAATTAATTTTAATCGAAATTATTACATTTTACCATTTTTAACGCTTTTTTGTTTCATTTTCAATGTATTATGGATACTGTATGTGAGTTGAACGCACTCAAGCCTAAAAGAACATGTTTTATTTAATATTTCACGAAATTGTTGTTCGGTTTTCGTTAGTGTTTTTTTTTTCAGTGAATTGGCGCCAATCAAGTTGTTTTTAAAATATTTATTTTGATGTTATTTTAATGATCGCTTTAAACAAATACTAATAGATTCTAAGTACTGTCTGTATCTTAATTTCTCACTAATTATTACAGAAATTACTTCTACAAGAACTTTCTACACTCACCGGCACGAAAACCGGGCACCTTAAAATTTTTATGTAGGTATTTTAAAGTTATATTGGGTTCTAATTTAACTGATTTTGATGATCTTTTAAGCAATTTGTAGCTAAATTATTTGACTTTTTACTACCTCGTTGTAAATAAAAGTTCCCATCTGTCAATTATACGAGGGAACACAGAATGTTGTTATTTTGGTGAAAGTTTGTAACCAAAAAGTATATATCTACCAAATATTATATTTTAGAAGACACACTACAGACATCTACAGACATTTTAAATATCTCTGATATTTATTAGACAAATCTGATGTTTATGAAATTAATAATATACAGTTAACTTATAATTTAGACCAGTAATAAGTACTAAAATGTCAATTTACGCTCAAAAACATCATTACTCACGAGCAAACTTTGAGTTTTAGTTTTAATAGGAAACAAACTCGTTGTAGGCACTATTTCATATGTATAAGCTTTTACGTATTTTTCAAGATCAATAGAAACAAACGTTATTTTTATCAAAACAGGATTTGACAACCAAGAAATGACGCTATAAAAATGCGTTTTACCATCGGCGACATTGACCCTCTGGTCTCTTCTAGGTCACAAGTGAAATTAATACGAAAATGTAGTGGCTAGAAATGGGATCCGCGTGCCTATATTTACATTCAAACGACGATAACACCGAATAAAGTCTATTATGTACTGCCGCTTCTAATAATTGTAATTAATCGATGTTTGTTTTCATTTGCATAATTCGTGATTATGTCTATCGGATCGGATTCGTCCTCAAAATTGACTCTTCTGCGTAGTTTACCACCAGATAAGACACATATGTCTATTTACAGGGTGTCCAAGTCTTTTTATCGTCGAATATGAACTTTACAACATAACAATACAAATTTAAAATAACTTGAATTAACGACTTTACATTAAATTGCAATTTCTGCATGTCTGATTTCTCTAAGATGCAATTACGATTCAACTAAACTAAAAACACTCCGTATATCATAATGAAGCCCGTATTCGACGAGGTACCGAGTGGTACGGGATCACCGTACCGGAGTCGATTCTATTTCGTTTCGCGGAAGTCGAAAAAAATCACTTTTGCTCAATAACAAACGTTTAAAGGTCGTACCTACAGGTTCTGTCTGCTTATAATTTCGAACGATTCGGTCGGCGGGTACTCGTCGCGGGTGCCGTACCACCAACCATGCGAAAGAGAAACACAAAGCCCCGATCTGCTTATGGCAGATTCTTTATTTAATTTGCCGATAAATTATTCATGATGTTTTTTTAATATGTGATTTTTAATGCGTTTTGACATTGACAAAAATGCGTAATTAATTAAATTAAACAAAGGAGAAGATAAAGAATAAGAAGAACAAAGAGAACCGAAAATAACATATATACAGAGTGCTACAGTTACAATTTATATATCTCGACAATCAATTACAAAGTCTTTTTAACTACATATTTGCAATTGCCAATTTTTCATAGAAGTATATACTATAGTCTATAATTTCGAACTGTCATTGTCATGGATCCTCTCGTTGGACAGACTATACTTGAAATTTAGTAGGATGATGTCTTTGATTTTATCTGTAATCATTCCGAATTCTAAATACTATTTACAAACGAAAAAAGTGAAATTGTAGTATTCGTTCAAAGAAAAATAAATTGGCTATTTCTAAAAGCCTCTCGACCAGCGTGCAACATTTAATTATAACGGTAGAACAATTAGCGATATCGCCGATATTGATTTTTATTTTATTTTGTTTTCCAATATATCCTTTTTAATTGCAGATTGCGGTGTCGGTGACATTATTGTTTTTGTTGTTCCGCCGCATTGTGAAACTTCTCTGCGACATATTACCTTTTACACTCCTTTCACAAATCGTTTTTATTCATTATATATTGTTTTTTTTTAATAAATTTAATATGTATTTGGAGCAAGATAAGATAAATTTATTTTTTATTAATTATTATTAAAAATAAAAAATAAGTAAAATCAATTACAAAAGCATATAAAATATTTTCAACCCACCTGTATAATTTATCTAATCAAAACGTACCTTTTTAATATATTAAAATGGCAATTACTATTAGTTTAAACAATCATTTTTGTAGATAAATTCACAAATATAGACATGTTTTATTCAAACATACCGTATGATCGGAAAAAAAAGCGTCAGCGATGGCTATGAAATTAAGATCGCTGTCATTTTAAATGTAAATTTACTCGTATACGGAAAATGTCATCGATCGCCATTTCCCAGCCAAAGGGACGCCATTTTTTTCGATCATACGGTATTATAATCATTGAATTAAATCTTATATTCCTAGAGTAAAAAGTTTACTAATGCCAATATATTAATTCATGGCAAGTGTTACTATAGCCTGTCCAATGAGAGTCATGACTACATTTTTGGTAATGATAATGATACTAATTAATGGTACTAATCTATTTTATTAATAAATCTTCCTATTCTTAAACGATTCTAAATCGAATAAGCCGTTTATTACTCATTATAGAATACAACACTATCATGAAATATCTAAACTTTCATTTTTCATCTGTATTACTCTTTATTATTTGAAATTAGAAACAAGATATATTTAGTAATTCCCTAAACTGAATAAAATAAATCTACCTATACTTTGTATAAAACAATAAATAATTAAAATAATTTAACTAACAAGAAGTTACACAAAATATTTAAAAAAGTGAAATTCAAAAAACCAAGAATTCGAAAAAAAAAGAATGTCTACCTTTCATTTCGGAAAAGATAATCATTTTCTAGAACAGTTAAAGTGTTAAGAAATCCAAAAATATATTATTTCATTTGAAATTTTTCCTCATTTCCTATAAATCAATTGATTAAAAATTCTAAGGTCAGTGATGACTATATTTACATTATTAAAGCAATAAATAATACAAAGACAATAATTATAGACACAACTGTTCATAGATAATTAAAAAAAATCTAGGAATTTAATAAATTTTTCATTTTATTAACTTTTCATTTAGTACTGTTATATAATTTTTCTCCAACCATTGTTTTTCTTATAAATAAAATAAAATAAATTTCAAAGTGTAAAAAGCTATAATCGTCTAAGAAGTTGTACAATTTGTGCATGTTGTTAGAAAGTGCTGTATATTTTTTATAGTTTAGGACAGTCAAATTTTGGTAGCAATTTACTTTCCATTTTGTTTTGAAAAGGAAATTGAACCATTAAAAGTGAAATACCAATTAATATTATAAAAATAATTGGTTAATAAACTTAGCATGGACACATTTCGAAATAATATAAATGACGCGCATTTAAAAAAAAATCTTTTAAAAAATTAGAAATACATGTAGGCGTGTATTTAATAAAAAAAAACATTAAAAACTTGTATCCTTAGATTATTAGCAGGTGCGTGTAAAATTTTGTGGGTGTCAGCATGAAGAATGACGCAATTTACCACATGTTTAATTTGTTTTTACTAACTAATAAGGCTAATGCATAACAACAAAATGGGTACTAGTAAGTATGTACCAACAAAGATTTTATTTCTCTATATTTTATTGTTTGTGAACTATACAAATTCCTTGAAAAAATAAATAGCAGATGTTCAAAGCGTTCCAAAAACACTCCAAATTTAGTGTTCCTTTTAAAATCTTTTGCCAGCCTATTCTATAAAATATGCAGACAATTTTAGCCCATATTTAAAAAATATTTTTGTAGATAGAGAATGATTCAATATATTTTACCTGTACGTAAAGTTGTACTTTTGAAATAAATGCGCTCTTTTTTAACGTAATTAAAGAAACTATATGTAGTTAAAAATTGTCACTTATTTCCAGTAAAAAAACCTCTTTTACAACAACCTGTGTGAATTGAAAATTTTGTTAAGTCGTTTTTTTTAATAATAAGAAGTTTAATATTTATAATTTATACAATCACTTTTCAAAAAAAAATTGACATTTGATTAATGAAAAAATATTTTGAAGTAAATTTTAAGTACCTACTTATGATGAAATAATATACAATAAGACTTACTTTTGTGCTTAGAGTTTCCTTTCCAAATAGGTTTAATCTTAAAGAACGACATCTCGAAAAAAAACTATTACTAGAAAATTACGAAAATTTAGAAACAATCACAGAAAAAAGCCGCAACAAAAAGCGCGTCTATAACAAAGCGATTATTCGCGACAGACTGAACTTGTTGCCACCACTGAAATAGATCATCGGCTGAATGCTTTCTTTTGTTTTGTAAGCGGCCAGTCAGTGGTCAGCTTGCGGTGTTATCAGAGAGGAGACGGACTTTCGACAAATGATGGAGTTTCTTGACTGCGGTACTGATCGGTACGATTCTGTACCTAGTACCTACGCGAACCGGCGTCAACGAATTGCATCTCTTCGGCGCCCGTTTGGGAGATGGATTGGATTTCCCGTTTTACACTGCCCGACACAAGCAAGCTGTCATTTTACCACTAAAGAGATGAGAGATTTTAGTGCTTAGTGAAGTCATAATTTAAGATTTTATATTTCTAGACTCTGCCTACTCTATCTTCCATTTTACCTCCTAAAAAAACTTTAAAAAAAATTGTGCTTCACAAATAGTTTCACCAACGAACAACACTACTTCGAGTATAGTTGAAACACCCTTGAAGAACCTTTGTGCAGAATCTCATACTTTTTGAACTGATAATATCAAATTTCTTACACTTTTTAACTTTACAAGCTGTGCTTTAATTGATGATTAGAATTATCTAATGAAATCCTACTGATAAAAACCAAAAGCCAAAATTGACTGAAATACAGACCTACAGGCATCCCAACAAAAAATACTTTTGTACACTCTTTTTATATTGCTAACTAGTTCATACAATTTATGATGTTGGCTTCAAGATGCGCTCTTTACACTAGCGGTGTCTATTTATTTCTCATGCTCTAATTTTGCGTTATGCAACCCGTAATACAACTTTGTGTTTAACGGGTTGCCTAATCTTTTTCCCACAAATTATTGATTTTGACATTTGACACTTTTGACAGTTATCTTTTAGACGCCATTTTTGGTTCTCGGCTTTTGGTTATTTTCGTAAACTGTTTTTCAAGAAATTTATTAAAATTAATGCTCTTTTTACCAATTTTTTAGTTTAAAAGTTAGTTATATAATTGTCGTTTATTGTTTAAAACATCCGTTACTGGTTGGCTTCTCTTAATGGTGAATATGGGAGACGAAAAAGGTAAGCATCGTTTCACCAAATTTTTTGGATGATTTTGTGTTTTTACGATCAGAATTATCAATGAGGATTAGCAAATTACAACATACGTGTTCATAATATTGTAGATATAATATTGATTACAAAATATAAGCAGCATTTTTTAACTTTTTTAGATAATAAGGAACGCGAACGTAGTAGAGAACGGGATGGCAAAGAGAGACGAAGAAGATCGCGTTCACGTGAACACAGGAGACGTTCACGATCCCGTTCTAGGGAACGCAGGAGGAGAAGTCGTTCGGGATCACCTAGGGCAGCAGCCAATGCTCATAAAGGTAACGAGTCTTTACATTGTATTCTAAGGCTTCTTTAACCACAAGATAATTTCTTTTAGGTGCTGGACATTCTAGACGAAGAAAACCTTCTTTATATTGGGATGTACCTCCACCAGGATTTGAACATATCACTCCTCTTCAATACAAAGCTATGCAGGCTGCTGGTCAAATCCCGGCTAATATTGTAGCCGATACTCCTCAAGCTGCTGTACCAGTGGTTGGTTCCACAATTACCAGACAGGCTCGAAGGTAACAATTGTGATATTTTAATCAAAATATGGTTTTAAATTGAATATATTTAGGTTGTATGTGGGTAACATTCCGTTTGGTGTTACTGAAGACGAAATGATGGAATATTTCAATCAACAGATGCACTTGAGTGGTCTTGCACAAGCTGCAGGCAACCCTGTGCTTGCTTGCCAGATTAACCTGGACAAAAACTTTGCATTTTTAGAGTTTAGGTCAATTGACGAGACGACACAAGCCATGGCTTTCGATGGAATTAATTTTAAAGGTATTTTTTATTTAGAACATCCTTGTTTTATATTAAATCTAATTTTTGGAATATTTTGTAGGACAATCTTTGAAAATTCGTAGACCGCACGATTATCAACCCATGCCCGGCATGTCGGAGAACTCGATTAGCGTACCGGCCGGCGTTATTAGCACGGTGGTACCCGATTCACCACATAAAATATTTATTGGTGGGTTACCTAACTATTTGAACGAAGATCAGGTAAGTGATCGGTATGAAAATGAGGAGCGAGTGTCGCGTGAAAGAGGCAGACTTTATTTATTGATTTATTGTGAAAAAAACGACGTCATGTAGGCTTTGAATATAAAAAGGCTACTATGACGTCGTTTTTTTCCTGATTCTATAATGTATGTGTTGTTTTGTAAAACTAAAGATTTAAATAGGGTCTGAGTGTGATTGTTTGCGCTCTTTTTTTCCTAGCATTCTCTGCATCGAAAACGATGGTTGTTTCATAAGAAGTCCATCAGGGTTTTTGTTTTCTTTTCAGCCTTTCAGGTTTTTCTGTAAAATAGCACAGCTAAAAATATATAGGAGCGACATCAGATTTTTTTTTGCGCTTGTTTCAGGGTCTTTTTCAGGAAATTTTCAAAAAAAAGTCAAAGGAAAATTTTTAATTTGAACTTAGTTCAAATTAATTTTTTCCAGCGTTTGGCTGATTTTTCCTTACAGGTTTTTTAGGTAGAGAGGAAAGCTTTTCAGGTTTTTTTCAGGAAATAAACGTAAACACTGTGACTGTTTTTCAGATTTTACAGGTTACATTCCTTTTCAGCTCTCTTTTCAGGTTTAGAAAAAGAATCTATAGAAAAAAATAAATGTGGATGTTCCAATTTTCGTTATTTTTTCGGTTTACAGCATTTTTGAGTAGTAAAACATTAAGGATTTTTCTAAAAAGAATATTTTTAAAATGAGCAAAAATTTTTGATTGATTTGAAATGTAATTCACATTGTTGCCACTTCATGAAAATTTCAGATAATTATTTGTGTGTGTGAAAAGTAGCATTTAATTTCCACTTACAGTGACTGTTAATAAAAAATTAGTCTATTTAGTCTGTAATTGTTAAATAGCTGTCAAATATGACACTTAAAAAATAAATTAGATATAACTTATTATTTTCAGGTTGAATATTTTGATACACTAAATTTCAGGAAAAAAACAGAATTTGTAAACATTAACATAGATATTAAACATTCTATAAGAAGTTTTTCTAGCTTCTATTAAAAAAAACGGCGTCAGAAACTGCTGGGGAATGGCAGTCGATGATAGTTTTGGCGAGGTCAATCTCTAGACGTCATTTACTAAAAATTGACATAAAACTGGCCAAAAATTAACACTATAAAAAGATTCAAAAAGGGTAGAACATTGCCAGAGCTACAAATCTATGTATTTCCAAAAAAAAAAAAAGATAACATACGTCCTTAGACCAACTGGCAAAAAACGCCATTAAAAAATAAAGAAGAGTCATAATTACCTGTCTAGGGCTTGACCTCGCCAAAATTATCATCCGTTGTCATTTCCCAGCCTTCTTAGATGCTGTTTTTTTTCAATTCTATGTTAGTTTACTGCCATTTTATTTAAATTCCAAATTAAGAAAAAATGAGTATGTTGCTCTGAGTATCTGTCATATGTCACACAAAAATATAAATGAGACGGAAACTTATTATTCTTTGGTCGAATATTTTAAGGCTTTAAATTTTAGCAAAAAAAATGTACAGTGTGGACAAAAACTTGTTATAAAGCTTTCAAAATATTTTATTTTTCTGACAAATTGAAATCCTTAATGTTGAAACTCATATAATATGTGTTTGAAATGATACATACTATATATTTCATTGTAATTTTTAAGTAAGAAAGAGATATATAAAACTAAATCTGATATTGTGATTTTTTGCCCTGTAGCTAGGGTCGCGCTCACGATCCTTATGAATTGTTGTTGTTGTCGATTCCGCTCTAAAAAACCTGAACACCCTGTGGATTAAGAAAGGCAAGTTAAAAAATAGATGAAACACAGAAAAATGGAATTTTGAAAAGAGATAAAAGTAAAAATAATTGCGCTACGAAGGCTGTCCTAAATTATTTTAAAATTTATTGTTTTTTTTTCTGGGAGAAAAAGCATATAAAAAGATTTTTTTTGTTTAAAAGAAATATATTCAGATATACTTTTTATATTTTACTGGTACAGCCTAGGGTTGTTGTATTTTTTTTAATAATATGTACTCGCATTGAATTACTTATACAGGGTATTCAAAATTAATTTGGTACTAATGTAACTTATTTCTTTTATTAGGATTTACAGAGAATTCTTTATATCCAGTTAATATTTTGTTGCATTTTTTTTTTGAGATCAATTATTATTCAAATCAAAATTTATGTAAATAATGTAATTTAATAAATAATATTCAATGCTAGTACATTTCTGCCAACATTTGGTTTTCCAAGAAATTATAACCACTGACTAGACGTTTGTGTTTTTTAGGTGAAAGAATTACTGATGTCCTTCGGTCAGTTAAGGGCCTTTAATTTGGTCAAGGACACGGCCTTCGGTTTGAGCAAGGGCTACGCCTTTGCAGAATACGTGGACATCACCATGACAGATCAGGTAAGACTCTTGAAAAAAGGTGTGTCGTCTGTCAACATTTTTTGTGGCTCGCTGGACAGACTTTAGCCATATTAAACAATTTTGTACCCACTTAGGGTGGCTGCAACGACCTCCCGTAATCCTGCTGTTAAAACATAACAATTGGTTTTTACATATAAAAACCAGCTGTTATGTTTTAACAGCAGGATTACTGGAGGTCTTTGCAACCACCCTTAAAGAAAGAGAGAATAAATACAGAATTGTTAAGTACAAAAATGCACGAATTCTGTATTATTATTTTTATAGTGGTATTTTTTTGTATTGTAATTCTCGATTTGATTGGATATTATATTTTTTATACAGGGTGTTCCGAACTGTATTCCGGAAACTTCGGCAGCATATTCTGCAGATAAAAATATGTAAAAAAGTTCGTGTAAATGTATGTCCCAAAATGCTTACGGTGTAGGAGTTTCATTTTTATTTCAATTTTTTCCAAATAATTTATGAAGTAACGTCAATATTTCGATGAAAATTGGTGTCGGGGAGTTTTTTGACATGAGAAATTTGATATTGATGTCAATATGACTCCGATTTGTAGGGGGCGCCACCTACATGTACTTTAACAGTTCTGAAGAGTAATAACTCTTCGTCCATACCTGTATAAAACTACTGAGTGAAAAAATATAAATTTCCGTGACTTTTCACGTAAAAAATGTCTCTGATAAAAATCGCTAAGAACATCCGTTCTCATGATATTTAGAATGGAAATATTCAAGACATTGACAAAAAAATAAACACATTGAGTAGATAGTTATTTGACTGAAATAATACATTTATTTGGAAAATTTTTATGCTTTTAAATTATTCTTAAATTTTTCTGCGAAAAAATGACGATAAAACAGTTTTTGTTGAACTTTTGGCACAAAAACATTTCTTATTTATGATTTCAGTCAAATAACTATTTTGTTGATATGTTTAATTTATGTCAATGATGATAGGCATTGATAATTTCGATTTCAAATATCTCGAGAACCATTACTCGTAGCGATTTTTACTAAGAGACCTTTCTTATGTAAAAAATGTCGTAAATGTAATTTTTTTTACTCGGTAGTTTTATACAGGTACGGACGAAAAGTTACTTTTCAAATCGGTTAAAAATATGTAAGTGGCGCGGCGCCCTCTACAAGTAGGAGTAATAAATGCATCAACATACAACAAAACTACAACATCAAAATAAAATTTCTGAGGTCAAAAAACTCGCACTCGACACCAATTTTCATCTAAATATTGACGTTAATTCATAAATTATTTGGAAAGAATCAAAATAAAAATGAAACTTCTACGCCCTGTATCTCCGAAACTAAGCATTTTAGTACATACATTTATACGAACTTTTTTACTTATTTTTATCTGCAGAATATGCTGCCGAAGTTTCCGGAATACAGTTCGGACCACCCTGTATATTTTTTTTGTATATTCTATGGGGGGCAGTGAGGTAAGGAGAAATATCTTAGTGTATTTAAAAGTGGTAATAAAAGAGGGTAGACTGAAGATGGCGCTACTATAGCAAAAACATTAAAAAGAGATAGATAAATGTGCGATTTCTGGGGCCTTATTCTGTAAGTATTTTACCGATCGATTCGGTAGAATTTCTTCGGTTGTGACACACTCCGAACCGAACGAAAACCCTACCGAATCCTCGGTTCGCGTACCGAAAGTTCTAATCGTCTTGGCATAGATAAAAGAAAATAATCTTCTATTAAGATAGATATGAAACTTAATAGTAAAATTTTGGGTCAAAGCGCCCCTCCGTGTTCTTAGTAGAGACTACGTTTAACCCAGCGCCTTAGCCTTTTCTGCTGTAAATATTTTTTTATGTTTATATTTGATTTCAAAGGATTTAGTGATTTGAAATTTTGTGGATTTGTGTCAGTCTTTAAGGAGCTTATTTTATGTTATTTGTTATTTATTCTACTACTTTTGATAGTTGTATAAAGGTAGTAAATCTAGATGAAAATTGTGGCTAGCACCAAATTAACAGTAACACTATAAAACTTTATGAAAATGACTCTAAAATAGATTGTGTAGCGTGCGGTAGATCTCGGCAGAAATTGAGTGAAATAATGGAACAACTTTTCGCTAGTAAGTGACTATATCATATACATACGTTTTAGTAAACCGATCATTTATGAAATTCACTTAAATTAACTAAATTATATTTTTTTCTTGCATTTTTAGCTTTTATTTATTACTTGTCAAAGATTAGATGTCAAAAGAATTTAGATACGTTAATTTGACTTCCCTGCTTCAGTAGCGTATCGGATGTTTGTGTTAATAAATACTTATTATAACTTATCTATTTTATTAGAATTTATATTTTTATAACAATTTTAATAACTACCAACATTTATTCACAACGTAATTAAAACAACAAATTATTGAATCTACCCCACGTCTACCCTACATCATAGTTTTACATTTTTTAAATAAAATTAGAACGACACTGACAAACCGGAATTTAAGTCGGCCATATTTGAGTCCCATCGCGGTGTACCTAAGATTTTTTGATATGCTCCTTCCTTAGTCTTCTTATTCAAAAGGCTAATAATAATCATTCTACTCAACATTACATTTTTCTGTCAGGGGTTTGACAGTTTCAAAAAAAGGCTAGAATTTGCGTGTTATTGCAAAGGTTTTATTTACGAAACACTCGGAAGTATAGTATTAATAAAAGAATAGATGTAAAGTGTTAAATAAAGTGAAAATTTGTGATGTTTGTCAGGGATATGAATCTAATCAGCGCAGAGGTTGGTGAACAGGTTAAGAAGAGCACCAAATATATACATACTTTCGTTTTATTAACATGTTGTGTTTTATTTATATTGTAATTATTTATTAAGGGTTTTTTTTAATTTAGAATAAATACAATTAAGTTTTAACACAAGTTTTAATATAAAGTAATTCTAAAAAAGTTGTTCTAAACATTATTATAAACATTATATTAAACAAAATTGAATAAAAATTTCACTCCTTCTTCAACCCACATCTTCACGACATCTTGTAGTAAATGAATTATTAATCATATATCATATAATCATATCTTTATAAAAAATTTATATTTTACGCTTCTGTACACTATGGATACTTTAAAACTAAATCCTTTGAAATCAAATATAAACATAAAAAATATTTACAGCAGAAAAGGCGAAGGCGCTGGGTTAAACGTAGTGTCTACTAAGAACACGGAGGGGCGCTTTGATCCAAAATTTTACTATTAAGTTTCATATCTATCTTAATAGAAGATTATTTTCTTTTATCTATGGGCTAAGTTCAGTTCGTTCTTTTATTGCTTGTTAGTGCCACTACTGTGGTAATTTAGTGAACTTTTATTCTTCCCATTTGGTGACCACATTTTCAAATATAGTCTCATAAGAGATGTTTCCTCTTACCTCTGCCCTCCAAAGTATATTAATAAATAGTTAAGATCAGGAAGATACTCTTTAGAGTGTCCCATCTGGACCTATCTGGACTTTACCATTTTCTGAGAGTAACTAGAATAATATTTATTTACTGATGTAAACTTGCAGTTTTTCAGTAACTAAAACATTTTATTATTGTTTTTTTTATTATTGTTAGACCATTGTATAACATAGAATGTTTCTTTTTCCAGGCTATTGCAGGTTTGAACGGTATGCAGCTGGGCGACAAGAGGTTGATAGTGCAAAGGGCCAGCGTAGGAGCTAAGAACACCACGGTACTACCGGCGGTACAAATTCAAGTGCCGGGACTTAGTTTGGTCGGTGCTTCGGGACCGCCTACCGAAGTACTTTGTCTACTTAACATGGTAAGTAAGAAAATTTGCGAAATGATTTAAAGTTTATTTTTGCACATTATTTTTTTTGTATTTGATGAAAAGTACAATGAATTTTTGGTAATTTATTAGAAATACCGTATGATCGAAAAATAAACGGCATTCGGTTGGCTGGGAAATGACGATCAATGACATTTTCCATATAAAATGACAGCGATCTTAATTTCATAGCCATCGCTGACGCCATTTTTTTTTCGATCATACAGTACAAAGTATTTACAGATGATTAAAATTACAGACAACTGCTACTGCCAATCATACTTTCTTTATACCGCATGATCGAAAAAAAAATGGCGTTCAGTTGGCTTTGAAACGAACATCAATGGCATTCCCCATATAATTTTACCTATAACTGACGCCGTTTTCGTTTTTTTCGATCATACCACGTACCTTATGAAAAAAAAAAACAGTGTCATAGACGGCTGGGGAGGGACAATCCATGATAATTTTGGTGCGATCGATCTGTAGACGTCATTTAATAAAAATTAAAAAAAAAAATACATCCCTCATAGTAAGGCCTACTGGCGGTAAGCGCCAAAAAAAGAAGAGTGCCGAGTAAATGACGTCTAGGGCTTGACCTCGCCAAAATTATCATCGATTGTTATGGCCGGGGCATAACAGGGCGTTTTCGACGCCGGTTTTTTCGATTGTATAGTCTGTCCAACGACTGAGGGAAAATTTCCACAGCGGAAAATACAATTTGCCTATGAATTAAAATGACAGACACAACTGTCCCTGTCAAGGATTCTCCCGTTGGGGACATTATGGTATTTTCTGTCATTTTTTGGATGTCATCTGTCAAAATCATCTTTGATTTTTATTAAAAAAATTATAATAATAAATTAAATAAAAAAATAAAATTCTTTTTAGGTTACTCCTGATGAACTGAAGGACGAAGAAGAATACGAAGACATTTTGGAGGATATCAAGGAAGAATGCAACAAGTATGGCGTGGTGCGCAGTATAGAGATACCCAGGCCCATCGAAGGAGTGGAAGTACCAGGTTGTGGCAAGGTGAGCCGAAAAAATAAATTTTTAAAGTTAAATTTTAATTATAATTTTTTTATTGTCTTTTTCTAGGTGTTTGTCGAGTTCAATTCCGTCCTGGACTGTCAAAAGGCTCAGCAAACGCTGACGGGACGAAAGTTCAGCAACAGGGTCGTGGTGACGTCGTACTTCGATCCGGACAAGTACCACCGAAGAGAATTTTAATTTATTTCAAGTCTTTCCTAATAATAATAAATAATAAGAGAATAAGATTTAATCCGGTTGGCTTTGGATTTGACAGCGACTGAGACATAAGACGATTAATTTCAGATGTCAACGATCAGAGCTTTCTAGATTACGTTTTTGTGTCTTTTGCTTTAGTAATGTAGAGAAAAAATAAATTAATTGCCGAATTTTTTAAAGACAATGGATGTTTTGAGTTTTACTGGTTGCATATGCAAGTGATCCGTATAAATGTTACATCCTAAGAATTAAAAAAAAAAGAAAATAGACATTTTTAACATGTAAATGAGTGTGTTTTAATTAATAGAATCTAACTTTACATCGTAATGAGTTGTTTTTTATTTAATTGTAATAGCAATCACTATATAAATTACTCTTTTTAGGCATTTTAAGCAAGGATGAGTTTTACACATCTTTACCTCGTTTTTTACATTATGGGGTAAAAAACAACAAAAAATGACATCTTTAATTAGTTTTTTGTTATCAATAAAAAACAAATAAAAGAAAATAAGCTAAAAAAAATTACAGGTTTTTAAGGCAATTTAACTGGTTGCCTACTAATCTTTTATATAAACTAACCTAATTTTTTTCAATGTCAACAAAAATTTTTCATCCATGACAAAAATCTAAAATAATTTTCTAAGAAATCAAAAAATAATTATTTTGTAATCTTACTTACAAAAATAGATTGATCTCTTTGGAGTCTATATTGTCTAGGTACTCTTCTTTTGTATAAATTTTATAATGGCAATATGTAGAAACCAGTAAAATAATTGAGAGTATTGAGAATTTCCAGAGGAGAAAATTCAAAATAAATTTAAGGGATTATGGAAGAGAATAAATGACACTATAAGATTCAAATATGTGTAAGTATACTTTAATTTAATCCATTATTAAGATTTCCTAATAATAAATTCAAATTCTCATGTTTATAAACTTTTTATATACACATACATCAATTCCTATATCAACAAATTTAGTATATTATTAGAAAAGTACTAAAACCTTGAAATAGGTACCTTAATAATGAAGTAACTTTTTGTGTGTATCTTTAGGTTAATACTCATGGCTTCTCCTAAATTCACATCACATGAAATTATAGAATTCAGTTGTCGGATTCAAAATTGTCTAAACAATCCTAATTGTCGTTCCATATTGAAAATGTACTTAGATCAAGGCAATTCCTCAGTGCTGCTCGCTGCACTGGAATTGTGGGAAGTAGCGAATAGAAGCACTAGTTGGAACGAAGAACTAATGTTAGATCTCATGGACGAATTGGACGATTTCAATCAAAACCCTTTGTTGAGCATTTCCGAATTCCAACACAAAATCGACTATACCAAAGCTGAATGCGTTAAGATACTCGAAAAAGGCAGCCAAGGAAAGTTTCTGTCAATTTTTATAGAATTCTTAAAGAAATATTATTTAAAATTATGATAGTATAAGATAGAATGTTGCTGTTGCTTATGTTGTAAATTTATTTTTAGAGTAATATATTTTTTTGCAAGATTGTTTTTATTTGTCTTAAGAAAAGTCATATTAACCAGGAAGACACATTTTTCTAATTATTTTGATTTGTTAATGCCTCTGCAAAAATTAATTTTCATTTAACTTTATGTGGTTTAATGTAGATCTGAACATTATTATCAGAAAAATATGTATATCAACTGATTATAATTTTTTGATTCTTTAAATCAATCAAACTGAAAAATGACTCTTGTTCTTTTACTGTTATATTGATTTTGTACAACGGTAAAACATTAAAATCAGAATTTATTTATAATTTGCTTTGATTTTTGATTCTTTTAATTTGGCACATTTAACTTCCAAAAAAATATGTGTCGACATCTATCGAACATATATTCAGCTAGTTCTCGGGATTCTCAAAGTTTTCTGTTTCATTATTAAGGGATATATAATCTAGTTTTCAAAGTCACTAAAAGATGGCGCCAAAGTATTCTAGCGACATCTGTTACTAGTAATTAAGACTATCGGACATAGTTGGTAAAGTTAGCAACAGATGGCGCTGCCAGCGATACTGATGTAGCGACATTTGTTAAATATTGATCAAAGATATAAAATTAGTTTGTGGAAGATACACTAGATCTCGCAGCATGTAATTAAGAAACCCATTCAAAGTATTTAACTTGAACTTCATTGTTTTAACTCAATTCAACTGTTTATTATAAAGAACATTATTGCTTAATAAAAGAGTAAATATATGTCTCGATGTAAAATCTATATGAAGTGTTTAGAAAAAGTAACTTATTTCATATGAAAGTTTTTATTTTGATAACGGTTTTTGAATCGAATTGGTGCATCGATAACGCAATTTATCTAATATTATCTTTGTCCATTTCTTATATATATATATATAGTTTAGGCACCCTTACCAATAACAGTTTTCCAAAATAATTCTTCTACTTTCAAATAGAATTCAATTTAATCACAATTTTTCACGGTAAGTAGAAGTTAGAATGATAGATTAAATTAAAATTCACACAGAATCAACGCAAAAAATAGTTTCTCTTAAAATTGGTAAAAAAAATTCTTTCTGCTAATCACAATAAAAATATATAGAGTATGTCCCCGGATTGTCTTTACAAGAGAGAATTATTGATGTATTGATTTATCGTTTTATCGATTTATCGACTTATCGATTTATTGATTTATCGATTTATCGACTCATCGATTCATCGATTCATCGATTCATCGATTTATCGATTCATCGATTTATGGATTCATCGATTTATCGATTTATCGATTCATCGATTCATCGATTTATCGATTAATCAATTTATCGTTTTATCGATTTAAATTAAATTTGTTTTTCCTATCATTAACTTTTAACTGAGTTATCTTCAGTTTTGGGATGGATGTAAATCTATGAACGAAATACATTTAATTATTTATTGATTTACTGATTTACTGATTTACTGATTTACTGATTTACTGATTTACTGATTTACTGATTTACTGATTTACTGATTTACTGATTTACTGATTTACTGATTTACTGATTTACTGATTTACTGATTTACTGATTTACTGATTTATTGATTTATTGATTTACCTATTGATTTATTGATTTATTGATTTACCTATTGATTTATTGATTTATTGATTTATTGATTTATTGATTTATTGATTTATTGATTTATTGATTTATTGATTTATTGATTTATTGATTTATTGATTTATTGATTTATTGATTTATTGATTTATTGATTTATTGATTTATTGATTTATTGATTTATTTATCGATTTATTGATTTATTGATTTATTGATTTATTGATTTATTGATTTATTGATTTATTGATTTATTGATTTATTGATTTATTGATTTATTGATTTATTGATTTATTGATTTATTGATTTATTGATTTATTGATTTATTGATTTATTGATTTATTGATTTATTGATTTATTGATTTATTGATTTATTGATTTATTGATTTATTGATTTATTGATTTATTGATTTATTGATTTATTGATTTATTGATTTATTGATTTATTGATTTATTGATTTGATTTATTGATTTATTGATTTATTGATTTATTGATTTATTGATTTATTGATTTATTGATTTATTGATTTATTGATTATTGATTTATTGATTTATTGATTTATTGATTTATTGATTTATTGATTTATTGATTTATTGATTTATTGATTTTATTGATTTATTGATTTATTGATTTATTGATTTATTGATTTATTGATTTATTGATTTATTGATTTATTGATTTATTGATTTATTGATTTATTGATTTATTGATTTATTGATTTATTGATTTATTGATTTATTGATTTATTGATTTATTGATTTATTGATTTATTGATTTATTGATTTATTGATTTATTGATTTATTGATTTATTGATTTATTGATTTATTGATTTATTGATTTATTGATTTATTGATTTATTGATTTATTGATTTATTGATTTATTGATTTATTGATTTATTGATTTATTGATTTATTGATTTATTGATTTATTGATTTATTGATTTATTGATTTATTGATTTATTGATTTATTGATTTATTGATTTATTGATTTATTGATTTATTGATTTATTGATTTATTGATTTATTGATTTATTGATTTATTGATTTATTGAATCGATGAATCGATGAATCGATGAATCGATAAATCGATAAATCGATAAATCAATAAATCAATAATCGATAAATCGATAAATCGATAAATCGATAAATAGATAAATCGATAAATCAACACATCAATAAATAAATAAATAAATGTATTTCGTTCATAGATTTACATCCATCCCAAAACTGAAGATGTCAGTTAAAAGTTAATGATAGAAAAAACAAATTTAATTTAAATCGATAAAACGATAAATTGATTAATCGGTAAATCGATAAATCAATACATCAATACATCAATAAATTAGTAAATGCATTTCGTTCATAGATTTACATCCATCTCAAAACTGAAGATGCTCAGTTAAAAGTTAATGATATAAAAAAAAAATAATTTAAATCAATAAAACGATAAATTGATTAATCGATAAATCGATGAATCGATAAATTGATAAACCGATAAGTCGATAAATCAATACATCAATAAATCAATAAATCAGTAAATCAATAAATAATTAAATGTATTTCGTTCATAGATTTACATCCATCCCAAAACTGAAGATAACTCAGTTAAAAGTTAATGATAAAAAAAACAAATTTAATTTAAATCGATAAATCGATAAATCGATGAATCGATAAATCGATAAATCGATAAATCGATAAATCGATAAATCGATAAATCGATAAATCGATAAATCGATAAATCGATAAATCGATAAATCGATAAATCGATAAATTGATAAATCGATAAATCGATAAATCGATAAATCATTAAATCGATAAATCGATAAATCGATAAATCCATAAATCGATAAATCGATAAATCGATAAATCGATAAATCGATAAATCGATAAATCGATAAATCGATAAATCGATATATCAATACATCATTAAATCAATACATCAATAAATCAGTAAATCAATAAATAATTAAATGTATTTCGTTCATAGAATTACATCCATCCCAAAATTGAAGATAACTTGTAATTTTAAAGATTTAATTTTTTTTGAATTAAATTGTATTATTTGTGTTGTGTATTTTTTGTTGTTTATATTTTTTTTGTGATTTTGTTGTTTGTGAGTGCTTTGTCGATGAAGCTATTTTGGCTTTTTGTAAAATAAAGCGTTGTTTTGTTGTTGTTTGTTAACTCAGTTAAAAGTTAATGATAGGAAAAACAAATTTAATTTAAATTGATTAATCGATAAATCGATGAATCGATTAATCGATTAATCGATTAATCGATTAATCGATTAATTGATAAATTGATAAATCGATAAATCGATAAATCGATAAATCGATAAATCGATAAATCGATAAATCGATAAATCGATAAATCAACACATCAATTAATAAATAAATAAATGTATTTCGTTCATAGATTTACATCCATCCCAAAACTGAAGATAACTCAGTTAAAAGTTAATGATAGGAAAAACAAATTTAATTTAAATCGATAAAACGATAAATCGATGAATCGATAAATTGATAAATCGATAAATCGATAAATCTATACATCATTAAATCAATACATCAATAAATCAGTAAATCATTAAATAATTAAATATATTTCGTTCATAGAATTACATCCATCTCAAAATTGAAGATAACTTGTAATTTTAAAGATAGGAAAACAAATTAATTTAATCGATAAATCGATAAATCGATAAATCGATAAATCGATAAATCGAAAAAGCAATAAATCAATACATCAGTAAATCAATACATCAATAAATCAGTAAATCAATAAATAATTAAATGTATTTCGTTCATAGATTTACATCCATCCCAAAACTGAAGATAACTCAGTTAAAAGTTAATGATAGAAAAACCAAATTTAATTTAAAACAATAAATCGATAAAACGATAAATTGATTAATCGATAAATCGATAAATCGATAAATCGATAAATCGATAAATCGATAAATCGATAAATCGATAAATCGATAATCCAATACATCAATAAATCAGTAAATCAACAAATAATTAAATGTATTCGTTCATAGATTCTACATCTGATTATTTTATTTTTTTTTTTTTACTTATATTTTTTCTTTGTATCTCGTTATTTTTTCATCCCAAAACTGAAGATAACTCAGTTAAAAGTTAATGATAGGAAAAACAAATTTAATTTAAATCGATAAAACAATAAAACGATAAATCGATAAATCGATAAATCAATAAATCAATAAATCAATAAATCAATAAATCAATAAATCAATAAATCAATACATCAATAAATCAATACATCAATAAATCAATAAATCAGTAAATCAACAAATAATTAAATGTATTTCGTTCATAGATTTACATCCATCCCAAAACTGAAGATAACTCGATGAATCGATAAATTGATAAATCAATAAATCGATAAATCGAAAAAGCAATAAATCAATACATCAGTAAATCAATACATCAATAAATCAGTAAATCAATAAATAATTAAATGTATTTCGTTCATAGATTCACATCCATTCCAAAACTGAAGATAACTCGATGAATCGATAAATTGATAAATCAATAAATCGATAAATCGAAAAAGCAATAAATCAATACATCAGTAAATCAATTACATCAATAAATCAGTAATCATAAATAATTAAATGTATTTCGTTCATAAACTTAAATCCATCCCGAAACTGTATATGTATACTCCAGTGTTAAAAGTATTGTAGGAAAAATAATTTATTTATATCGATAAATTAATTAATCGATAAATTAATTAATTCGATAAATGATTTAAATCGATAAATCGATAAATCGATAATTCGAAAAATCGATAAATCGAAAAAAGCAATAATCAATACATCAAGTAAAATGCATACATCTATATCAATAAATAATTAAATTATTATATATTTTTTTAAACATCCTGTATTTTAGAGATTTTCTACAACTTATAAAAATCAAGTTTAAAGTTAATGATAGAAAAAGCAAATTTAATTTAAGAACAATAAATCGATAAAACGATAAAATCTGATTAATCGATAAATCGATGAATTGATAAACCGATAAATCGATAAATCGATAAATCGATAAATCGAGTAAATGATAAATCGATAAATCGATAAATCGATAATCGATAAATCGATAAATCGATAAATCGATAAATCGATAAATCGAATAAATCGATAATCGATAAATTCGATAAATCGATAAATCGATAAATTGATAAATCGATAATCGATAAAAAGAGAGAGTTAAATCGATAATCCGATAAATCGATAAATCGGATCAAATCGATAAATCGGATAAATCGATAAATCGATAAGTCGATAAATCGATAAATTCGATAAATCGATAAATGATAAATCGATAAATCGATAAATCGAAAAATCGATAAATCGATAAATCGATAAATCGATAAATCGATAATCGATAACGATAAATCGATAAATCGATAAATCGATAAATCGATAAATCGATAAATCGATAAATCAATACATCAATAAATCAGTAAATCAATAAATAATTAAATGTATTTCGTTCATAGATTTACATCCATCCCAAAACTGAAGATAACTCAGTTAAAAGTTAATGATAGGAAAAACAAATTTAATTTAAATCGATAAATTAATTAATCGATAAATCGGTCAATCGATAAGTCGATAAACCGATGAATCGATGAATCGATGAATCGATGATAACTCAGTTAAAAGTTAATGATAGGAAAAACAAATTTAATTTAAATCGATAAATCGATAAATCGATAAATCGAAAAATCGATAAATCGATAAATCGATAAATCGATAAATCGATAAATCGATAAATCGATAAATCGATAAATCGATGAATCGATGAATCGATGATAACTCAGTTAAAAGTTAATGATAGGAAAAACAAATTTAATTTAAATCGATAAATTAATTAATCAATAAATTAATTAATCGATAAATCGATAAATCCATAAATATATAAATCGATAAATCGATAAATCCATAAATCCATAAATCCATAAATCCATAAATCCATAAATCGTAGAATAAGAAAAATTCAGGACGAGCGCTTAAATTATAATTTGAAAACTGACCTAGGAGACGTCATATTTTTCATCGTCTTGCTTTTTTTCTTTGCTTGTTTTTTTATTTTAGTTGGCTTGGCAAGGAAGCCGATATCGACAAAATATCAAGAGACAACTTTTAATCGGCATTAAACTGCTTACACTATTTCGTAACAAGAGAAAAAAAATAAGTTAATAGCGTACATGCTTTTTTTTAGAAAAATATTTCAATCATAACCCATATGCACGTCCCTGGTGAATATGTCAACTCTTTTTTAGCATTAAAATATGTCGCATTTATAGTAAATTTTACCCAAAAAATTTCATTCGAAACGGTAAAAGTACTTGGAATAAAATTACAATAAATCGAAAAAATATTAAGACTTTCACACCCTGTAGCTACGAAACAAGGCAGAATCGGACCTATATTGATATGAAAAATAAATCATATTTTTACGTGAGAAATCTCCCCACGAGAGATGACACATGTTTTTTGAAACACCCTGTATAGAGAAAATTATTAATAAGAACGTGCTGTTTTAACCCTTTATAGGTTGATGGTCGCTAAATCGATCACTTTAATTTAACCAACTAATCAGTCGCGTGGAAGTGTATTTTCGCCCAGTTTGTTTGCTATTCTTATTTCTATGCGCGCCTTGGCCATTTGATCAACCATATCTTTGGCCGAATTGGCGCGAAAAGTTAACGTAAGCGGTTGAATATTCGACCAGTGAGCATTGGTGACACTGTGTTCGCTGTGTATCATATAGTTAATAATTGTCGTCTAAACATTTTCTGTGCAAATTTCGTGTGATAAAAATTTTAAAATATAGAAACAAATGTATCTGTGACGGTTTTTTCTTTTTATTTAGTGCACCAAATTTATGGTTCCGATGATATTTTCTAAAATCGTTAACATATTCTGTATATTTTCGATCATTTCCCATAGGATGCGAGTTTCTCTAAAAACAAAATTTGATTTACTTGATATGGGTATATTTTTGAGTAGAGAGCTAACAGAGAAAATCAAAATGATGATGATACATATCATTAGATCATACATTATACATTAGATCATTACATATTATCTATTTGATTTAACAGTCTCTGGTCGAAAAATGGACCAGCACCCACCCCACTTCCTTATTTGTTAACTTTTTGAAAAATGTTATTAAGAAGATATGCTCCCTTTGTGCTAGTTTATATATGTTTGAAGTCAATTTGATCAAACTAGAAAATAATTAGTACTGCCCTATAAAGGGTTAATATAGGTATATTCTTATGTAAACAAATATGAAATAGAGTGTTTGAAATATAATCTTATTTCAAATGCTAGATTTTTTTACGCTCTTTGAGCAGTGTATTAGTACGTTGATAAAGTAATTTATCTAATATTATCTTTATCCGTGTTTTATATATAAAGATGGGACACTCTTACCATTACCAGTTTTTCAAACTAATTCTATTTACATATAACAAAACAAAAATAAAATCAAAATACAAAAAATTTGATTATCAGTTTTAACGGTAAGTGGAAGTTAGAATGATAGATTTAAATTGAAAATAACACAGACACAATGCATTTTTTTTAATTGACAAGAAAAAAATATGTATTTTTTATTTTAGTTTATATAGGGTGTTTCAAAAAACATGTGCCATCTCTCGTATTTTTTATATCAACACAGTTGATATAAAAAACATAAAAAATTCCTATAAACGTGGGCGCGAAAATACTTAATTTAAAAAGTTACAGGATGTTAAAACTTAAAAAAATAGGTTTTTTGCAGTTATCTTAAACATTACTTATTTTAATTTGCTATACGTAGCAGTGAATAACAATGTTAAAAATTTTAATAACACTTTACAATAAATTAGATTAAATAAATAATTTATTAATTTTACTTCATTAACTGTGATTAGTAAAATAGCGTAAAAATTGTTTTTTATAAAAGTATTTCAGTGATAACTGATAACCCATATGCACGTCCCGAATCTGTCGACACTTTTTTAGTATTAAAATATGCATCACTTATAGTAACTTGTACCTTCAAAATTTTAGACTTTAACCCCTTGTAGCTACGAAACAAAGCATTAACCGAATAAAAAAAGCAGAATTTTTTTTTTATTTTTACTTGAGGAATCTTCCCACTTCCTTAAATATAACACCCATTATATTATTAAATTTTTGAAAGCTACTTTTATATCTCATAATTATATCTATTACTATTATACATATAATGATATTTCTACTATCCTATACCTATCTCTAATAGTTTTTGAGATAAAAAATAAAACATCTGTAAAATTGATAAAAATATGATCTTGAATAAGCATTAGTAAAACCATGAATAATTAAACAATTTTAAAATTGAAATTTAGGTTATAAGTTAAGGGAAGTTTATTATAATATTGCTCAAACCTTTGTTATTTTAAATTCAACCCTATGTATATTATTTAAAAAATCAAAAGACTAATAAAATTGCTTTTGAACAATATATAATGTTCCTATAACTAAACCTCCCGTTTTCTTAAGTAGAGCTATTTAAAAATGATTACTATTTTCATATTTTCATTTCAAGAATTTCGTTACCATGCCAATTTTAGAAATTTAGCACGTAAAGTCTAATTGAAGGGCTTCTTGTCATAACATGATAAGCCACTCAACTAGAAATCAGTTTTATTAACTAGTAACTAGTGTTTTTCCTGACCTCCCTGTTTGATATCCAATCAGTTGAATTAGTTGATTTAGACAGATTGAATATGTCAACTTCCTTTAACTCAAACTTTAACCTATAAACCAACTTTCAACATGCCGAATTTATGATTTAACTAATGCTTAGTCAAGATCATGTTTTTGTCAATTTTACACATCTGTTATTTTTTATCTCGAAAACTATTAGAGATTGCTATAGGTTAGTATAATAGAAAAATGTTGAGATATGGAAGTAGTTTCGAAAAATATAATAATATACCGGGTGTTTCGTTTAAAATAACAAAAATACTACCACTGTTAGTATGAAGCGGCAACACTGTAATGCTGAAAATAATTTAGACAGATGGGGCACGTGCATTTATGAAAAAATCAAAATTTTCAAAAAAATTCTATCCCAGATTCTCCATAAACGTCTGACGTGCCACGGCCGTGAATCACCCTTTAAAAGTGGCTAATTACACTAATACACAGACATTTTTCTTTAAAAAATACGACTCAAAGATATAGACATTATTTAGATGATTAATAAAATGCAACAAATGCTTCCAAATATTTATGATATTATGTACTAATTTAGGTTAAAACCATGGACCAAACGACACATGAACAGATCGACCAATTTAGTAGACCGTTAGATTTTTTAATATACCCTAAATACCGACAAATAATCTTAGATGGTTTTCCCTTTAGTGGAGACAAGCAAGATTATAAGCCAGTAGTCGAATTGTTTGATATAGTAGACGCAAAAACACCAGATTGGAATGAAATAAACCAGGCAATGGAGAAAATACCTGATCGTCTACATTTTAAGAAAGTATATTTTAAGAAAGATGATACCGGTGATAACGCTATAAAAATTGAATATATCAAAACTGAATGTAGCATAATTTTAAAGCAAATTTTCAATGATTTAAAACAGTACTTAAAGGACCATTGTTGTTCAGAAAGAATTCTAAATAGATGTACATTAGGTTAATGTTTCGAAGTATAATTATCTTGATTTTAGTATCTTTTACTTTTTCTGATCCTTATACCGGCTATATAGATTTTTTTCTAGATGGTAAATTGCTCATTTGGACTTTTTGCAAAGCTTTTGGTGTATGTAAAATTTGAATTTAGACACATCCGTAATAGTGTTTTTTATATATTTAGGTTTATAGATATCTACTGTCAAATTTAATCTATTTTTTATGTCGATTTAAATGTTTTATAATAAAATAAGTTACTAGCAATTGAATCATCCGGATCTATTTTTTTGTATTCTACATAACTTTCTAAACACATTTGAAAAAAGAAAAAAAAACTTAAAACAGAAAAATTTTAAGTTTTAAATAGAAATATTACGGCCTTAAATATATCTCGATTTTTTAATTGCATTATTTCTGTTTTAATTTATATAATATATTGTTATTGTCACTTAATTTGTTGTTTTATTTTTTCCTTCTAATAAACCAAATGCCACGCACATTAATATCTTGTAGTTGTATTAACACTTTAATACTAATTACACATTACCTTTTTTAATTCACATTAGGTAAAATTTTTTAAAGTTTTTAATACGATTTTAGTCGGATCGATAAAAGTATGTTTGATTGTCATTTCAAAGCCCTTTATGACGCTATTTTTTCTATCGTGTAGTTTAAAAACTGTATATTTATCGAAATCATATTTCTAGAAATTTTAATTTCAACCGTCGAAACTTTTGTAGAAATCGTTGATAATCAAAAATCAAACAAAAAATTTAATTATTTGAAAAGCCTTTTTATTTTATTCTGCAATTAATTTTTACCTTTAAGTTATTGATTGGTTCCAATAGGTACTTAATTAATTAATTTTATATAATTAAGTAAAATAGGTAAAATTTTTGGAGTAAGATTAGTAAAACCTATTTTTTTTGATAAATATATGATTTTATTATAAAAAAAAACAATAATAATATTGACTTAAATACAACTAACCCTAGTAATCATAATAATAATAATACAAAATACGATTAACCTATCATTTTTCAGTCTAAAAAAACTTACATCGAAATACATCGTCTTTTATATTTATTTCTATTCCTTTTTTATTGCACACAAAAGTCTCTTTTCTTTTTCCTTTTCCTTTAACTCACGACAAAACAAAAAAAAATAACGCCCTCTAAGGTAAAAGTCTATGATAGTGAGCCCTTTTATTTTTCTCGATCACGTAGAACGAATGAGGCTTGCCGTTTCCAGGAAAGTACTTCAAAAAATTCGATTTCTTTGGTTTTTGCGGCACATAGTACGATGGTCTTAAGGGTTTCTTGTTCGTTCGATGCGACTCTTTATCGAGCACCTCGTTCCAACTATCTGGCTTATCGAAATCTATGTCTATATCATCGGTACGACGTTTCTCGTGCGACTCGACTATCTTCTTCAGGACGGGGAGGTTCCAGTGGTAGATTTTAGCAGGTTTTCCGTTACTTTTGAAACCTACGGGTACTTTTGTGGCTTCTGGTAAGAAGTTATTGGGTCTGTTCACTGTGTAATAGTGAGGATTAGGTGGTAGTTTGATGATGAACATGTGTGAATCGTCCGATCGACTCTGATGGCGCGATTCAACCGCCAGACGTTTTCTGTGATGAGTGTTGGGACTGCGGATCTTCTGCAAGCCGAGTCTCTTCATCAAATCGTGGTTTCTGGTGTTGGTTTGTGGACGGGCTTGTAGTACTTGAAGAAGGAGGACTATCAGAAGCACGGAAACGATGCAATGTCTGAAATGAGAGAAAAAAAAAATTAGGTAATGAAAAGAATACGATCTGTGCTTAAATTTGTAACTACAGTTTTAGAAATACCATATACTATCGGCAAAATTTTTGACGCGGTTTTTTTTATCACACGGTATTACAGGGTGTCCCAATATTCCGTGGACATAGAACTACTACGTATTTTCGGAATCAAAATATGTTATTGATTTTTTCGGAAAAACTCTTAAACACGTATATTTTATTTTGTTGTTTTATATATTCTAACATTTTTTAAAAATTTATACAGGATGTTTCATAAAATATGACAATTGAGTAATCACGATACTGCTTAAACTGCTTGACGTTTAAAGCTGATTTGGTTTGGCAAACGAATCTCAAATTCCAAGAGGGTGTAAACGCCCCTCAAATATTACAATATTTGTTATTTAAAAAACGGTTAGTCTTTCGGGAAAATGCTTGGACACGCATAATTTATTTTGTTTTTTGTATATTTTGAAATTTTTAAAAAACCATACAGGGCGTTCCAAAAAGTTGGGTAATTTATTAACCACGATTCTCTTTAAACTGCTTGACGTAAAAAGCTTATTTTTGGCAAACGGATTTTTTGAAAGTCAAATTCCAACGAGGTGAAACTACCCCTCAAATATTACCAAGTTATATAATAATATCGCCATATTGTTTTTTCTCATGCTGACATAAATGTGAGAAAATTTTATCCAGTTTGTATGTTAATGGAAATTCTTGCTTTGCTTTATCATCACCATTACGAATTATTAATTTGATGCGAACGAAGTCCCGGGTACACGGTAGTTTATGAAAAATCTGTACCTAAATAATGAAGTATCATTTTTATGTTTCTTTAGGTGAACACTCATGGCTTCAGTAAGATTCACATCACATGAAATTATAGAACTCAGTTATCGCATCCAAAATTGCCTAAATAATCCTCGTTGTCGTTCCATACTGAGAAGGTACTTAATGGAAAGCAATTCTTCAGTGCTTTTTGCTGCATTGGAATTGTGGGAAGTAGCAAACAATAGTACTAGTTGGAACGAAGAAGCAATGTTTAATCTTATGGATGAATTGGATGATTTTAATCAACACCACTTGTTGAGTATTTCGGATTTCCAACAAAGAATCGACTATATCAAAGATGAATGCGTTAGGATACTTGAAAGAGGCAACTAAGGGAACTTTCTTTCAATCTTCATAGAATACTTAAGGAGATATCATTTATAATCCTGACAGTATAAGACAGAATGTTAGATACTGTTGCTTAAGTAGTAAATTTACTTTTAGAGTAATATATTTTTATTGTCAGATTCCCTTTCTACCAAATCTAGTTTTTAAAGTCAATAACAGACAAAACAAATTGTTAACCTGCAATTTTCAAATACTATACCACCAGTAGTACTCTCTACCCTAACTGAAAGTACCCTTTCAGGACTGTTATGGAATTTAAAACTATCGCCATTTTTTTGTATAATTATTTTCTTCAATATAACTATTCTCAATAATGTTTTTATGGCTGAACTAATCCCTATATTTTTTTGACTGTACCTACATACATCAAAAAGAAACGAAAGATGCATCTAATTACGTCAGTTCTCTTTTTTATCGAACTCATTCCATCTTCCGCACATCCTTTCTTATTCGCTGGTGGGTACTACACACACACACACGTACACACGAGAGAGAGAGTACCGTGGATGGTGACCTGCGGTGACCCCCGGTGGCCAACAGTGGACATGAGCCATTAAATTCACATTCTTAGAATGCACGACGGCGTTTTTTATTCCCCCCTGGCTAAAACGTTCTCAGATTTATACTTGGCGCGTTAGTGGTAATTAATTAAATAATGAAAATAGAAAAAAAGACATTCTATTGAAATTAAATGTTAAGTTCTAATAAACAATAAACACAATAAAGTGTTTCGAAAAGGAATATCTATTTTTTAATTCATTACTTTTCTTTAATAACCCTGTTAATTCATAAGAAATCTGAAATTAATAATTGACAATAATTACACAGACTGCAAGTTATTTATTTAATTATATTTTTTTCATTTGAGATTTAGATTTTAATTTAGAGAAAATGAAGAAATGACGAATACATTACCAAATAAAAGAGTTTTTCTTGTTTGGCACTAAGAAAAAGCCATGTAAGCTAGGGTGTAGAGGTTCGATAAGAAGGAATTTTTCGAAATTCCAGTTCCAAGAGGGTGAAACCATCCCTCAAATATTACAATATTTTTTATTTAAAAAACGGTCAAGTTTCCGAAAAAACGCATAAACAGGCATATTTTATTTTGTTTTTTTACATATTTTAAGATTTATTAAAAATGTATACAGGGTGTTTCGAAAAATCTGGTCAGTGATTAATCACGATCCTGCTTAAAGCGCTTGACGTAAAAAGCTGATTTTTGGAAAACAGATTCACTTTAGGGTGTAGAGGTTCGATAAGAAGGGATTTTTCGAAACTCGGATTCTAAGGGGGTGAAACTATCCCTCAAATATTAAAATATCTTTTATTTTAAAACCGGTGAGTTTTTCGGAAAAACTCTTAAACACGTATATTTTATTTTGTTGTTTTGCATATTTTAAGATTTTTTATAAATTTATACAGGGTGTTTCATAAAATATGACCATTGAGTAATCACGATTCTGCCTAAACCGCTTGACGTTTAAAGGTGATTTTTGGCAAACGGATTGACTGTGGGGTGTAGAGGTTCGATAAGAAGGGGTTTCTCGAATCTCAAATTCCAAGAGCGTGAAAACACCCCTCAAATATTACAATATTTGTTATTTAAAAAACGGTTAGTCTTTTGGGAAAACGCTTGGACAAGCATAATTTATTTGTTTTTTTTTACATATTTTGAAATTTTTTAAAAAATCATACAGCGTGTTCCAAAAAGCTGGGTAATTTTTTAACCACGATTCTGCTTAAACTACTTGACGTAAAAAGTTTATTTTTGGCAAACGGATTTTTCGAAAGTCAAATTCCAACGAGATGAAACTACTCCTTAAATATTACCAAGTTATATAATAATATCGCCATATTGTTTTTTCTCATGCTGTCATAAATGTGAGAAAATGTTATCCAGTTTGTAATGTTAATGGAAATGCTTGCTTTGCTTTATCATCACCATTACAAATGATTAATTCGACGCGAACGAAGTAATCTGTACATTTTCAGTTTCCTCAATAACCTGCACATTTTGTGCAATGCCATCCAAAATACACACTTTTATGCAAATTAGTCTAATAATGTTAACGTCCCTTAAAATTTATTTAAGAAGAGAAGAAATTTTGAACGTAACCAGCAATTCGTGTTGTCTGTTTTTGTTTGCATGTTTTGTTCATTATTTATAGTGATTTACAATAATTTTGTTAAATTATACGAATATTCTCGCTGATTACATTGGTTTGAAATAATATGTTCTTCAATGAAAATGCGAGTTGCTCAACTTTAATAATTCTAATTCTGAGCTAGTAAATGAGCTAGACGCTTTACCTAGACCGTTATTCAGAAGCTACAAACCTATCGATGGAAGTGTGCATGAAAATTTACTTCCAAGCACAGAACCAGAGGATATTGCGGTAGGTAGGTAGAGTATCAAGTTTATTATGATGATTTTCTTAGCTTTAAATCAAATGTTTTTTGGGGTTTGGGCCATGGTGCGATCCTTACCACTTTTCATCTCGCTAGCTCGTGTGTCACGGCCTTGAATTTTTACGAATTAATATGTTTTAAAATTATAGAGTTTTAAAAGAAGTAACCGCACTAATGAAGAAATCATTCAATAAATGTAGGTAGTTAAAATAGAAAAATTATCATGAGTACTAAAACTGTTCTGAACAGTCACTACCATAAAAATATCCATTTCATTACTCTTGAACTAGCCCGAGGCCATTTCAATTTCAATAATTTCAAGGTACGACTTCTTCAAGCCTCTTCTAGTCCTAAGAATTCGTCGATTTCGCACACACATATACATACGTTTCTGCCCGCGTATATGTATGTGTGCATTCTTCGTGACTAATTCGCATTATGGGCTATTGTACTGGTGTTTCACGTCTGGAGGAGAATTTTTTCACCGCTCAATAGGTACTACCCGCGGTGGACCTTTATTTCTTATTGCGTCTCTTTCACACGAGCTAACCCTGTATATAAGATTCGTTAGTTATTACTTATTATGGTACTGACATATCGGGCAGGTACTTAAATGTCATAATTTTATTTTCATGCTATATGTAAACGTGTTCGAGATATCTTTATTAGGCAAATCAATAAACGTTCCTATTCTTCCTTTAACATATCAAGGATATAAAAATGAATATTCAATTTTGCAAAGAAGAAATAGTTAAACGATTTTTTTATTTCTCTTGTTACTCTAAATTAATATAATTATATGAATTTTTAGCTGATTAAGCTACAATTTACTGACTTTTTGTATACCTAATAATTATTTTTCCGGTAACATAAAATTGTAAAATAGAAAAATTTCAAGAAAAATAATCATTAAATTAATTAAGATTCGTTATAAGCTGAGATTAAAAGAATGAAGCTACCGTGTAACATCTTCATAAACGAACCTTTAGATGGGAAATAACCTGAGTAATCCCGACGCATCAAGCGCTTTAATTGTTCTTTTTTAAAATACGCCTTCATCTTCGAAACATCCTTTCACTATTCTAGTTTTTTGTTGCACCCGAGGCGTAATTCTCCTTTTTTTCCATCTCGTACAGAGAACATAATAATGTAAAAATTAGAATTAAATTACGACGGAGATTGTGCAACAATGTATGATAGAGTTACTTTTCATTTCGTTGGCTCTTCCTATTAGTAACGAAATTTCATTAAATGGAATTCCGTAATGACTTGCTTGACGAAGAATACAGGCTGGAGATGATCAGTTGATCAATATGATTTCAATGGATATACAGGGTGTTACCTAAAGGGGTAAATTACCAATTGTTGGACCAATTCTAAGAAAAAAACTTCAC